GTGTGTGTGTGTGTGTGTGCGCGCGCGTGTGCGCGCGCGCGCTTGGAAGCTTCTACAAACAAGGTAGAGGGGTTCTCTGGCTGAAGATGCACAGAAGGGAGCCTAGAGGAACAGAGAGGCTTGCAGTACGGTGGAGGCAGGATGGGGTCCTTACTCAGGACTATAACAAGCCAATGAAAGGTCAAGTTTAAGCAGCAACCTTTGGGTGAGGATGAAAGGGGATGGCTCTGGGGGCTTTGGGATTGTTGGTTTCAAGGAAACCATGGATACTGTGTTTTCTAGCTCAGACTCTCAGAGCCCCAGAGGCAGAGGAAGTAGCGATAAGGACCTTCTGCCATCTAGATGCACACTAGGTATGGCTTTGCTCAGTCTCCAGTCCCTGATGAACTCTAGACCTACCTAGCCGACATGGGAGCTCAGACGCAAGAAAGCCCCTGGGCAAAGCTCATCTGAACGGACCCATGAGGAAGTGAGAGCCCCTCCAGAGGAGCCACCACAGAGTCTTCAAGTTAGGAGCCAGGGATGGGAAGGTGAGGGAGGATGGTAAGAGCTCTGAAAAGCATGGATCAGAACTTCAGGGGAAAGGGTCGTCAGCTGTGGTTCTCAAGATAATATCATTCAAGGGGTTGAAAAACTGGAGTCCCGACAATAAAATTGCAAATTATCCCGAGTTAAAAAAAAAATGAGGGCAGTATCTAAAAATAAAATGGCTGCACGGGGAACTCTCTAATGCACAGAGCTTTGAGAAGGGCTCATGTTCTCAAAAAACTTTTGACATACTTTTAAAATACATGAATTTGAAGCTGGGCATGGTAGTGCATGCCTATAACTCCAGCACTGGGGAGGTGGGGTAGGAGAATTGCAAATTCGAGGTCATCCTCAGCTACATAGTGAGTTTGAGGCCAGCCTGGACGACATGAGACCCTCTCTCAAAAATAAAAACCCAAATCTAATAAGGTGCATGGATTTGCTTTTGTGTTTTGAGATGGGACTCTCACCGTGTAGACCAGGCTGGCCTTGAACTCACAGACATCTGCTCGCTTCTGCTTCTGGAGTTCTGGCATTAAAGCTGTGAGCCATCAAGCAAAGCCAGAAGTCTATGAACTTGAACACACTAAGTAGAGCAGAGTGGTTAAGGCAAGAGTCTCTAGAATCAGACAGCGTTTAAATTCCCTGGTGCCACTTAGTGGCCGTGTGACCGTGGAGACCCCATTTAACCTGCCTCAGCTCTCGGTCTGAAGCTGCGAAATGATAGTAGCCACTTCATGAGGCCGTGGTGAATAAGAGGACAGGGCACACGGGAAATCCCTGCTATGGTGACTAACAGACAGGAAACGCACAGCGCCAGCCACCCTTGCCTTCCTACAAACACACACGAGATTCTTCAATAAAGAAAAGCTTCGGGGGTAGGGGGATGGGGGTGGAGGGCAGAAATAAAAGAACGGCCCAAATGGATGAGAACCATGCGAGGTAGACTGAGGCAAGTGACTTGTGACTGACCCCAAGGAGCTGTCACTGGTGAAGTCACACTAGACAAGGCATTGGTAGTGTTCGGTGGGAGAGCAGGTGTGACTGGCTATGGCGGTGCCATCCCCCTGGTGACACACTTTCACAGCAGACCCAACTGATGTAGAGTGGAAGGCTGGGAAAGCTTGTTCCCACCACCTTCCTAAGCGTCTACCTGTTTTATGAGATGGGCCAAGGCACGGCCTACAGATGCCACGATGGAGGATTGATTACCAGGAACTGTTCTGAAGAGTTGTGGGGTCAGAAGACTAAAAGAACACCTGGGTCTAATCTACAGATAGAGGGAAAGGGTGAATTTAGAAAATACAGAGGTTTGCTTAATATCTAGCCTTGTGAAGTTCTAGAAGGATGACTAAACAGATTATTTTGGGGTTCTCCACGTCTGCCTTGCAGTCTGGTAACCTGAGGGGTCCCCTGATATCAAATCATGCCATGTCTGCACACCACCCTCTAGTGACTCCCGTCTCACAGGGAAGAAAAGTCACATTCTTTTTTTTTTTTTTTTTTTTTGGTTTTTCGAGACAGGGTTTCTCTGTAGCTTTGCGCCTTTTCTGGGAACTCGCTTTGGAGGGCAGGCTGGCCTCGAACTCAGAGAGATCCACCTGCCTCTGCCTCCCGAGTGCTGGGATTAATGGCACGCGCCACCACCGCCCAGCGAAAAGTCACATTCTTTATGGTGGCCTACAAGGTACTGTGGCTGCTGAGACCTCAGGCCTCATGGTTATTCCCCCTCCTCCGGTGCTAGCGCCTTGCTCTTGGCTTCACTCTTGACCTGGAACACTCATCCAAAGAGAAGGCAATAGCTCTTCCTCCTCAAATCTTTGTTCAAATGTTACCACTTTAATGAAACTTTATAACTACCCTGAAGTACTCTGTTTCTACTCATCCCTGACATATTTTTCCTCTCTTGTACTCATTCTGATCAACACATTGCACATTTTAAAAATTTCTTTGTCTGTATTTACGATTCTGAGAACAGTACCCGCCGAGTTAAATACCTTTGTTTCGGAGGGAGTAGGTGGAGAGCGCTGACTAGCCTGCACTGGCCAGCCATCCCAGTGTGCTCAGAGTTGGGAGAGCCCCTGAAGCATGGTGCGAAGACCAGCCAAGAGCCAGGTGCCCTCTGTGTCTGATCTACAGTCTCCTCTTCTGTGACACAGTGACCAGACTGAGTGGGAGGAATGCCACGCACCCACCTCCTCCTCCTGTGGCGCAGCCCCTTACCAAGTCTGCCCTGACGGCCCCGCCAGCGCCATGCATCAGTGTGGGCTTCCAGACTGCTCACCTAGGCAGCCTGAAGCTGCCGGGCAGACAGACATGTTTGCTTAGTGGACCACTGCGGAAGGTGGAAAGGCTGTAGCGTCGTGATGAGGGCAAAGGATGGTCTCGGTGCCTGCCTTCCTGGTGCTAACACACCTGACCCTGACTCCCCGCTACCTTTGTACCATCTTAGTTAGAAGCCGTTCCTTCCCATCTGCTTAGTTTCTAGCTTTTCCAAGACTCGGTGAACCACATGCGTTTCCCTCCATGTTCCCAACGAGCTGTCCCCGAAAGCGGCATTTCTCCTTTCAAGAAGAAAGCGGTCCCTCCCTGCCTTCTGCTCTCCATCTCACCCAGCTTAATTCTCTGAAGCTAGTCAACCCGTAAATCCTCAGAGGGCCAGGGCTTCATTCCTAAGGACCTGGGCAGCTGGGTAGCAGCGGGGTGGGTGGGTGGGGGCTAGAACTTCTGGGGCCATGTTTTAGGTTCTTATCACTCAGTCCAGGGCTTGCTGGGAAGCTCTAGGGTGGTGGCAGGAGGTACTAGGTGCTTCCTTAAGGGAACAGTGATTTCGTGTTCCCTGCTGTGGGCTGGCCACAATATGGCAACTGCCGAACAAAAGATAGATGGTCCTAGGGCAAGCACTGCAGTGACTTCTGATTCTGCCTCCTCTTCTCTACAGCTTCTGGCTGAATCCCCTTTAGTCAGCTCCAGCCGATCAGGAGTGCAGCCAAAGTGCATCAGGAGAGAACCCTGGGGAGGTCAGGAGTGCCTGGCCGGGGTGCAGCAGGGCACAGCATGTATATTCATGTAGAAAGACTACATAACCCTGGGAAAGAGCATCGGGTGCTCAGGGTATTGGAGATCACCTTGGAGCGGCTTCTCCAACTTTCTTCAGCTGTCTGTAAAAAAGCCAAAAGTGTGGTGCTTTGTACCTGTAATCCCAGCACTCAGGGGGCAGAAGCAGGAGGATTGCCAATTTGAGAATAGCCTAGCCTGAGCTATATAGAGCTTATAGACCCTGCCTCAAAAACCAAACAGGAAACAGAAGGTGGGGATCACAGAGGCATGGAGTAATTATGGAAAATTCTAGCCATCCCAGCCTGGGGTCCAGTGATCCTGAGTGTCATGCCCAGGCTGGCAGCATCTGTTTTAGACGTGGGCATGGGAAACTCAGGGGCAGGGCCAGCCATTTGTATTTAACCAAGTCTGCAAACTGGTGTGAATGTCCCTGCCAAGGAGATGGCAGCTTCTGAGAGCCCTGCTATGGAGGACGCTGTCCTTTAATTTCGGGGAGCCATCCCGGCTTAGGTTCCTGGGACTGTGTGCAGACCCTGATCTGGTGCCCACCTGTGTGTACATTTTGCAGTCTCGGTGATGGTTTGGGGTCTGTGTCTACCAAGTCTACCACACATATTCTGTAACAGGGTGACCCTTCAACTCCTGTGGGGGATTTGACCAGTCTCAGGAAACTTAATCCGTTCACCAGGCCAGTTGCCCGGTGGCCTCTGGTGTCACCCATTGCTTGCCCATCCCACCCCTCCAGCAAGCCTTTGTGCCTTTGTCTCTGTTGGTTTTCCCACAGCCGTTCTTCTTCACTCTCAGTCACCAGAAGTCTATCAGTTAAGAACAAGACAACCAGAGCAGGCCGGGCTCATTGTGGACCGGAGCGGAACGGGACAGGGAGGGAGAGAAACAGCAATTTCCTCCTCCACCACCTTCTTCCCTTCCTCAGACCTTCCATCGCCCATGCTCGCTCCCGCCTGTGAGCCAAAGTTCTTGCCATCTTCGTGATTTGCGATTCCCGGCATGCTCCTACCTCTTGGGTTTGTGTAATTAGAAACAGGCTGGGGATGTGCAGCCTATGCACTGGTGTGTTAACTGCTTATCAGAGGAGAGAGAGGAACCAGGTTCGGGGATGGAAATTTCCACTCTCTCCCCACGCCTCTGTTTGTCTCCATTTTTCTCTCCCACTCTGCCTCTCCTTGCCTGTGTCATGCTCTTTCTGGATGGCGGCTTCTCCTCAGTTCGATCCTCTTCCCCCAGAGCTTCTGCTCCCTGCTATGGGGACACCTTGTGTTTGGAGCAGACACAGAGGCCAGAATTCAAAAACCGTCTCCTCCAAGCTCTGATCACATCCCAGCCCCCACCGCTGTCTCTGAAGAGACCCAAGCGATTTCCTGATGCCCAGCATGCAAAGGACTAGACCCCTCCCCGTTGCTGTTATGGTTTATTTTTATTTTTTACAAAACAGGAGAAAAGAGTGAATTGGGTAGGGGACAGGTGACACATTTCTCCACAAAGGTACAAAACTGCCTTATAGAAAGTCAACTTCAGAGCCCAGGCTATGAGACGAGGCATCCCTGGATACCCCTCTCCCCAAATATCCTTCAGATCCAGCTGGGGGACACTCCCACTTTGGGCCAGGCTCCCAAGACCGAAAGGAGAAGCCTCCTTCAGCTCTTGCCCAGGAGGGGGATGAGCAAGCAACTGATACTGTACAAAGAGAAGAGGGAGGGGACAGCCTGCGGGCCAGGGGCCTGGGGACACAGGCAGTGGCGTGGACAGCCAAGCCGAGGTCCAGGGGCCTCTGGGGAGGAAGGAGGCTCTAGGCAGAGTCCTGCCTGTTCCTTGGAGACACTCCTCAGAACAGCAGCTGAAGACCCCCCGGAAGGCCACAGCAATCATGTCAGAAGCTGCAAGAGCACCCCCAGGAGCCACCGAGGCCCGCCATTCTTGGCCAAGCTGCCAGGCCTCAGGCACGTGGACCAACGCCACTTTCCTGGCAGGTACCTGGCCCAGATCGCTTCCCTTTAACTGTCCTAGTTACTTTCTCTACCGCTGAGACCTGGCGGTGCCTCAGGAATGTGGAGACAATGGTGGCGGTGGCGACACTGTCTCCCCATTTGAGCATCTGGGCGGGTTCCTCCCCGGATTCCAGGGCAGGACAAGGGGTGCAGACATGACTCGGACAGAGGGGGTGCTCCAGCCCCAGAAAGCCCAGGCTGGAAAGAGAGGCTTCTCACCCACCCCCTGCTTGGGCTGCCGGCCTCTGCCAAGGTGGGCTGCAAGCCCAGCTGCCAGCAGGAGGACAGCAAGAGCCAGGATGGCTATGAGCCCAGGCTGGTCCCCCAGGGCTCTGTGGCAACGAGAGGCCTCTTTAGTCCTGGCCCAAACACAAGCCAACTGGGTGTGGGCATCAGCAAAGGCCACTTGCAGGCAGGCCCAGTACTCTGTGCCCGGAAGGAGGCGGGTCACGTTGTATCGGTGGGTGCCCTGCGGCAGTCGAGCCGAGGCGGTGGCTTCACGGTCCCGGAGGGAGGAGGCGCTAGACCAGGTGAGGTTGGTGGAGACTATGTTGGGTGGGGGCACCCAAAACAGCAGGATGTGATATGGGTGTGTCTCCTGCACACGGAGCTCCAGGCCTGGTCCCTGGTCCCTGCCTGGCTGGAAGGGAGCGTGGCCAACCACAACACTGACTGTCTTAGTGTCGGCCCCAACCAGGTTCTGGGCCACACAGGTATATAAGCCCGCCTCTGCTGCCGACACCCTCCGCAACTCTAGGGTCCCCTCAGGGAACACCCGGTACCTCCTGCCTGCATGAGCAGGCGCCAGTCGGACTCCAGCGGGAGTGACCCAGTAGATTTCAGGCTCTGGTTCAGCCAGTGCCCGACAGTGAAGTACTACGCTCTCTCCGCTGGCCACCTGCAGGCTGGAGGGGAAGCTTCGGGGAGAGATGAGGGGCAGGCAGTGGTCTGTCATCTCCCGGAACGGCACCTCCCGGACCGGGCGGCGCTGGAGGTCTGGAGGCTCGGCACACAGGGTGGACTGTGGCTCGATGAAACGGACACGGGTGCCCGTGGCATTGGCCCAGCGGATGACGCAGTCGCAGCGGATGGGGTTGCCGTGGAGCCCCACCTCCTGCAGGTTGGGCAGAGACTCCACTGTCTGCTGGTGCAAGGCACTGAGAGCATTGTTGTTGAGCATGAGGGTCTCCATCTGGGGCAGGTGGTGGAAGGCGCGGGGGTGGATGAAAGAGAGCCGTGGGTTGTTGGTGATGTCCAGCTTGGTCAGCTCGGGGAGGTTGACCAGGGCGAACTTGTCAATGGAGACCAGCTCCTCCATGTTGTTCAGTCCTAGCTCCTTGAGGTGCAGCATATTAGCAAAGTCTCCCGGCCCTACCCGCTGCAGTGGGTTTTTGTTCAGGTCTAGGAACTTGAGCCCAGGCACCTGCTCCAATGCCCGCTTGGGCACCCGGGCCAGCTGATTGTCATAGAAAGAGAGACTCTCCAGGCTTTGCAGTCCTTCCAGAGCGTAGTCGGAGATCTCCCGCAAGCTCATGCCGGCCAGCACCAGGCTGCGCAGGTTGGCCAGGGGTCGGAAGTTCATGTCCAAGATGGCATCCACCCTGTTGCCACCGATCATGAGGATTTCCAAGTTGGGCAGCATCTCGAACCAGCGGCTGTCAATGGTCCTAAGCAGGTTAGAGTTGAGGTGCAGCCGGAGCAGGTTGCCGAGGCCTTCGAAGGCCCTGGGGGCAATACGACACAGCTGGTTATGGTTGAGATAGAGCTCCTGCAGGCTGGTCAGCCCGGCAAAGCTGTGATCCTCCAGCCGGCTTAGCTGGTTCTCTTCTAGGTGGAGGCTCAGCAGCTGAGGCAGGGCCTGGAAGTCACAGTCTCGGGCATCCGAGAAGCTGTTCTGGGACAGATCCAGCTCTGTGAGGTTGGCCAGGTAGGCAAGCTCAGTCTGGTCTATTCGGCTGATGCTGTTGCTCTGTAGCAGCAGGGTCTGTGTGCCCGCCGGGATCCCTGGGGGCACTGCCGTCAGGAAGAGGTCATTGCAGTCCACAGTGGTGGCCTCGCGGTAGGAGGATCGGGGCGTGTACCAGGGCCGGATCTGGCAGGCACACTGAGGAGGACAGGGCACGCGCCAGGGTACCACGGGTACCACGGCAGTGGTACCAGCCACCCAAGACAGCAAGAGGGCAGCCACAAGGAGCCTCATGGTGGAGCTGGAAGGCAGGGGACCCTCCACAGGAAGAGTCCTGCTCTTCACGACTTGCAGACTGAGGGTCAGCAGCCCTGCCAAGGTCTGGGGAACCGCCCGCTCAGGGCCGTCATTCTACACGGGGTGGGTGGGCATCACTTCGTGCCCTCTCGGGTGTGGGTCCTCATCTTTGTGCGCTGGGCTGGGATTCACTCATGTCCTGGTCAGGCGGCCCTGGAAGAAGACAACAGAATTAGGGTTGAACAGAGTGAAGGAATGAAATCTGTCCCTCCAGCCTCCCCTGGTGGTCTCCAGAAACCTGAGGAACAGCCCAGGAGCTGGTCCGGATGGAAACCAGGCATCCTGGGCCCTGTTCTGCAGCCCCCAAGGTTCCAGGGTCCCCTCCTACCACCTTCTCTAAGTCTTTGGATGACTCAGAGGTGTGTTTGTCTGTGGTGTGGTGTGGTGTGGTGTGGTGTGGTGGGTGACGGTGGGGAGTACAGGTTATGTGTGCGCGTTGGGAGGAAAGGAGAATGGATGGGCTGAAATTGTCATCATTGGAGCCCAGATAAATGGGGAACAGATTGTTTGACCTTTCTTGCTCTTCCTCCCTCCTTGGATCACTGGTTAAGTGAGATAAATGATAGTTTCTAGACGTTTCTCTGGGGATGCGGGAGGAAGGAGGTGGTGGAAACAAACCCAGCTGTAAAATATGGGATGGGCTTCCCAGAACTCTGGAGTGGGGCAGCGGATCCTGACCCCGCATTCACATAGGCTGGGGTGCCGGGGGCAGTCCAGTCCTTCCTGGGGTCTCCTGGGTGAGCTTTGGTTTTGGCCATTGTTAGTTATTCTGCGGCGCAATGTTATTCATTGGGCGGCGCTGTTTACCATTGGAGAAAAGCCACCATAAGTGTTTATTAGGGGAAAGAGAGCAGAGGGGATGTGCTTAGACCTATGGAAGATCACGCAGGGAGAGAGGATGGAGGGGTCTGTGACCTGCTTTTTATGGATTTCCCCTGCACATGTGCATATGGGCTTACATAGCTATGCCACGCATGCGCATAGGTGATGCGATCACGCTGCACGCACCACTTTCCACCCTGGAAGCATGGGCCTTCCTCTCGCATTAGCCTGTTGGAGCTGCCCGGCAGATGTGCAGGCACTGGAGTCTACCTGCCTCAGCCCTGCAGGGGTGGTCTTCTGCAATCTGGCCCATTGTTCCTATCCCCCCCTACTCTCTGCACAAACCTTTGGGGTGAACTGACACCCCACCCCCCTTTGTTTCATTTCTCTGAGACAACTTCTGCTTGTTCTTCAAGACTCAAGTCCAGTCACTTCCAGAGAGTGTCTGCTGGGCTACAGGGTTTCCTGGAGGCCGATGAGCTCTTCGACGTTGGGGCACGTGTCTCCACCGCTGGGGCGAAGGGGCTGGCACTGTGTGCCCCAGTGGTGGGCTTGCTGCTGTCCCAGCCCTGCCCGGGTCACCTGGAAAGCTTCCTCTGCCCTTTCTTCACCACACCTGTCACTCAGGGCACGGCTGGTGCTCACTACAGTCCCGTGTCCTCAGGGCCCCTTCCCCCTGGAGGTCTCCTCTACTTGGAACCCAAGACACTGATGTATCCTTCCTCCTGGATGTATAAAATCAACCTGGCAGCCGGGCGGTGGTGGCGCACGCCTTTAATCCCAGCACTCGGGAGGCAGAGCCAGGCGGATC